AAAGCACATAGAAAAAACAAAATTTTACGCTTGAACTAAATCAATTAAAAAATAATTATAATGAATAATCAATTTAACTAAATGCAATTCTCCCATCCCTGAAATTACTGTTTCCTTTGCTTCCGTATTGTACGTTTTCAAAAACGTTGGATCTTCCTTAGCAAAACGAGTTAACGCCTTCATAAAACTGTCACCGTCTTTACTGTTAACTGGTTTTATAGACATTGAAATAACAGGGTCGGGTATATGCATCGATTCCTTAAATAAACTTCTGTTAAATACAGAAAATTAAGTTGTTCTAGAGTTATAAATGCTCCTTTCTTTAGTGTAAAGAGCACAACTAACACAAAACAGCAGCGAGTCTTCTCTCCCACAGAAAGTCTCCCCGGAATGGCAATCCAGTCCAAATGTTGCGCATATATCTCCAGCATATGCCATTTCTATCTCCTAAATCAAAAGTTAAAATGTAACGCTCAAGAAAAAAGTCATAATCTCTCAAATCGGATCTTTCAAACAACAAAATATGAAGTTAAAAACCATTATCATAACAACGCGGTATAAAACAAGACAAAAAGTTAAACAAAAACCAGACCTCCATCTTATTCGCATGCATGCGGACTAACCTCTGGACACGAACACGCCGCCTATCTTTAGAAGCAATAATAACATCTCCTCTAGTCAATTTTCCTTGATAAACTCGGAAATACGTCAGCTGTCCGTATTTCCCAGCCTAATAAAAATAAAACTGCTAGCTCAATAAGGCAGAAGGAACCACGTAAAAAAGTGAATTATCGAGAAATTGAATAAATTTCCAATTTTTTCAATAACTTCAAAATTTAAAATTGAAAACTATTGAACAACCTCCAATTTAAAAGCCAAGCCAACAAATGGATTTTTTTCATCTCGGTCAGGGTTCAAAATAACAGTCTTTTCATCCCCACTCCTAAATAAAATTTCGGTTGCAGACGGAGCTTATCAGAAACCAAAAATGAACAATGCAGACCGTTAAAAAATAACGTTTCCATCAAAAATTTTCAACCAACTCATAACTTTGAAACAAAACGATATCTGCAAAAATAATTTGGGATTTTCACTAATCTTCCCATTAAAAAAAAAAAAAAAAAAAACGCTCTACTAAAGAGCCAGCTAAAATTACATAGAACTCAGTACTGCATTATATTAGACAGTACAAGCCACTGTCTAAATGAAGATTGAAAACAAATCCGGTCATAACCGTAATCAAAATGAGACAAAAGTTAGCCGAATATAACGAAAATTTCATGAAACAATTCACTTCACATCCACGGTGGTCCCTTTGTTTTCCACCTCCGACGGGTTTGGCAAATACTGAACAATACCATCAACCATCGGCTGAATACCCTTATTCTTCAAGGCACTACCCAAAAAAACTGGAACGAAACACCGCTTAATTGTGCACCGTCTAATTGCCGCGTGAATATCTTCCACCGATAATGACTCGTTGTTCAAGAACTTTTCACCCACAAGATCGTCAGAATTTGCCAAACATTCTACAGGAAAACAAACCAATGATTACAAATAAAACTGTATCAACGAAGGGTAAAAACAGTACACAGAACCAAAAAATTAAAAAGAGGTAACTCAAAACACGAAATATAAAAAT